AGGACACCATGAAGAAGTGAACCCTTTTTTGCTCTGTGTTATCGTGGGCACTATAGTTCCATCACAATATCCCATCACAAAATCTGATATCTGAATCACTGCAGGATTTTCTTCACTTTATTAGTGGAACTTGCACTATTTATTGGTTACACTATATTAATTTCACTTATGGACAAGATTTACATAATATAAATAATTTATTTTTGTGTCAGTGGTTGCAAGTACTTAATTTATATTTAAAGGGATAGCACACCTATTTTTTTATTTATAATTTTTATCAACATTTGAATATAATTAATGTAATAATTTAGACGCTAAACATAAAATCTAGAATGCCCCTAATATATATTAGTATATAAACAGATAAACTATTTCTATAAATATGACCTAAATATGGGCAGTAGTGTAAGAAAGTAGGACAAGGAGGGACAGTTAGGAGATATGTATCCTACAGCAAAAACAATAAAGAAAATGAGTCTACAATGAGAGACTGCAAACAGTGTTGCTAGTCTCGGCTCGGACTAATTTAAATATGCTGCCCTCTTGTGGACTGCATAGAGATGCATATACAGTAGATCATCCCACAGTACATTAATTATAAAGGGTGTAGAATATACACAATGTATGTAAAACATATGTTTAGTTCATATATACTGTGTGTTTGTGTATATATATATATATATATATATATACACACACTATATTGCCAAAAGTATTGGGATTTTTAGTCAGTTTTAGTCTGTACGGTTCATTATTGAGCTTCAACTCTTCTGGGAAGGCTGTCCACAAGGTACAGGAGTTTATCTATGGGAATGTTTGACCATTCTTCCAGAAGCGCATTTGTGAGGTCAGGCACTGATGTAGGACAAGAAGGCCTGACTCGCAGTCTCTGCTCTAATTCATCCCAAAGATGTTCTATGGGGTTGAGGTCAGGACTCTGTGAAGGCCAGTCAAGTTCCTCCACCCCAGACTCCTCATCCATATCTTTATGGACCTTGCTTTGTGCACTGGTGTGCAGTCATGTTGGAACAGTAAGGGGCCATCCTCAAACTGTTCCCACAAAGTTGGGAGTATGAAATTGTCCAAAATGTCTTGGTATGCTGGCACTAGATTGAGCGAATCGAACCAGGCGAAGTGGAATTCGTTTCGAATTTCAGGAAAAATTTGATTCGCGTCGAATCCGAATATTTGCATACTTCGGGTGTGCGCGAATCGGATTTTTCCCGATCAGCCGGCAAAAGTGTCCCTGCAGAGAGCTCCGCTATTTCTGACAGTTCTCTGACAGTTCCTTCACATGTACAGCGGTTGAAAACATTGTATCTATTTGTTTCCATTTAGGATACAGATGTTTTTATTCGGAAATAAATAGATACAATGTTTCAACCGCTGTAAATGTGAAGGAACTGTCAGAGAACTGTCAGAAATAGCGGAGCTCTCTGCAGATACACTTTTTGCTGTACTGGAATACTTCTTCTTTTCATTCTTCTTTTCATTCTTCTTTTCATTCTTCTTTCTTCATGCTTCTTTTCATTCTTTTCTTCTTCATGAAAAGAAGAATGAGAAGAAGAATGAAAAGAAGAATGAAAAGAAGAAGAATGAATGAAAAGAAGAATGAAGAAGAAGAAATGAATGAAAAAGAAAAGAAAAAGAAGAATGAAAAGAAGAATGAAAGAATGAAAAGAAGAATGAAAAGAAGAAGAAGAAGAAGAATGAAAGAATGAAAAGAAGAATGAAAGAATGAAAAGAAGAAAAAGAAGAAGAATGAAGAAGAAGAAAAGAATGAAAAGAAGAAGAAGAATCTTTTCATTCTTCTCATTCTTCTTTTCATTCTTCTTCATTCTTCTTTTCATTCTTCTCATTCTTCTTTTCATTCTTCTTCTTCTTTTCATTCTTCTTCATTCTTCTTCTTCTTCTTTTCATTCTTCTTCTTTTCATTCTTCTTTTCATTCTTCTTTTCATTCTTCTTTTCTTTTCATTCTTCTTTTTTTCTTCTTCTTCTTCATTCTTCTTCTTTTCATTCTTCTTTTCATTCTTCTTCTTCTTCTTCTTCTTTCTTCTTTCTTCTTCTTCTTTTCATTCTTCTTTTTTCATTCTTCTTCTTCTTCTTCTTCTTCTTCTTTTCATTCTTCTTCTTCTCATTCTTCTTTTCATTCTTCTTTTCATTCTTTTCATTTCTTCTTTTCATTCTTCTTTTCATGAGAAGAAGAAGAATGAAAAGAAGAATGAAAAGAAGAATGAAAATGAAGAAGAAGAAGAAGAATGAAAAGAAGAATGAAAGAAGAAGAAGAATGAAAAGAAGAAGAATGAAAAGAAGAATGAATGAAGAATGAAAAGAAGAATGAAAAGAAGAATGAAAGAATGAAAAGAAGAATGAAAGAATGAAAAAAGAATGAAAAAGAAGAAGAAGAAAAGAAGAAGAAAAGAAGAAAAGAAAAGAAGAAGAAGAAGAAGAATTTTTCATTCTTCTCATTCTTCTTTTCTTCTTTCTTCTTCTTTTCATTCTTCTTCTTTTCTTTTCTTCTTTTCTTCTTCTTTTCATTCTTCTTTTCATTCTTCTTCTTCTTCTTCTTCTTCTTCTTCTTTCATTCTTCTTTTTTCTTCTTCTTCTTCTTCTTTTCATTCTTCTTCTTCATTCTTCTTCTTTTCATTCTTCTTTCTTCTTCTTCTTCATTCTTCTTTTTTCATTCTTCTTTTTTTCATTCTTCTTTTCATTCTTCTCTTTTCATTCTTCTTTTCTTCTTTCTTCTTCTTCAATGAAAAGAAGAATGAGAAGAAGAATGAAAAGAAGAATGAAAAGAAGAAGAAAAAAGAAGAATGAGAATGAATGAAAAGAAGAAGAAAAGAAGAAAAGAAGAATGAAAAGAATGAAAAGAAGAAGAAAAGAAGAATGAAAGAATGAAAAGAAGAATGAAAGAATGAATGAGAAGAATGAAAAGAAGAATGAAAAGAAGAAAAGAATGAAAAGAAGAAGAATGAAAAGAAGAATGAAAAGAAGAATGAAAAAAAGAAGAAGAAAAGAAGAATGAAAAGAAGAATGAAAAGAAGAAAAGAAGAATGAAAAGAAGAATGAAAAAGAAGAGAAAGAAGAAAAGAAGAAGAAGAATGAAAGAAGAAGAAGAATGAAGAAGAAGAATGAATGAAAGAATGAAAGAAAGAAAGAAGAATGAAAGAAGAATGAAAAGAAGAATGAAAAGAAGAAGAAGAAGAATGAAAAGAAGAATGAAAAAGAAGAATGAAAAGAATGAAAAGAAGAAGAATCTTTTCATTCTTCTCATTCTTCTTTTCATTCTTCTTCTTCTTCTTCATTCTTCTTTCTTCTTTTCATTCTTCTTTTTCTTCTTCTTCTTCTTCTTTTCTTCTTCTTCTTCTTCTGATGGATGAGGATGAAGAAGAAGAGAAGAAGAAGTAGGATGAAAATAAGAAGAATTCCAAGCCGGCAAAAAGTGTATCTGCAGAGCTCCGCTAAGTGTATCTGCAGAGCTCCGCTAAGTGTATCTGCAGAGCACAGCGGTTGAAACATTGTATCTATTTGTTTCCATTTATGGAAACAAATAGATACAATGTTTCAACCGCTGTAAATGTGAATGTCAGAGAACTGTCAGAAATAGAGGAGCTCTGCAGATACACTTAGCGGAGCTCTGCAGATACACTTTTTGCCGGTTTGGAATTCTTCTTATTTTCATTCATTCTTCTACTTCTTCTTCTTCATCCTCATCCTCATCCTCAGAAGAAGAAGAATGAAGAAGAAGATGAGAGATGAAGAAAGAAGAAGAAGAAGAAGTAGGATGAAAATAAGAAGAATTCCAAGCCGGCAAAAAGTGTATCTGACAGTTCTCTCTGACATAGAACTGTCAGAAATAGAGGAGCTCTGCAGATACACTTTTTGCCGGCTTGGAATTCGAAGAAGAAGAAGTAGGATGAAAATAAGAGAAGAATTCCAAGCCGGCAAAAAGTGTATCTGCAGAGCTCCGCTAAGTGTATCTGCAGAGCTCCGCTAAGAAATAGCGGAGCTCTGCAGATACACTTTTTGCCGGCTTGGAATTCTCCTTCTTCTCATCCTTCTTCTTCTTCTCATCCTTCTTCTTCTTCTCATCCTTCTCCTTCTTCTCATTCTTCTCTTCTTCTCATCCTTCTTCTTCTCTCATCCTCTTCTTCTTCTCATCCTTCTTCCTTCTTCTCATCCTTCTTCTTCTTCTCATCCTTCTTCTTCTCTTCTCATCCTTCTTCTTCTTCTCATCCTTCTCTTCTTTCTCATCTTCTTCTCCTTCTTCTTCTTCTTCATCCTCCTTCTTCTCATCCTTCTTCTTCTTCTCTCCTTCTCTTCTTCTCATCCTTCTCCTTCTTCTCATCCTTCTTCTCCTTCTTCTCATCCTTATCCTTCTTCTCATCCTTATCCTTCTTCTCATCCTTCTCTCTCTTCTCATCCTTCTCCTTCTCCTTCTCCTTCTTCTCATCCTTCATCCTTCTTCTTCTCATCTTCCCTTCTCCTTCTTCTCATCCTTCTCCTTCTCCTTCTTCTCATCCTTCTCCTTCTCTTCTTCTTCATCCTTCTCCTTCTTCTCATCCTTCTCCTTCTCTTCTCATCCTTCTCCTTCTCCTTCTTCTCATCCTTCTCTCCTTCTCCTTCTCCTTCTCCTTCCTCATCTCCAAGGGCATTTAAATTAAAGGTACAGTGTTCTGCACTAATTTAAAGGCTCTCTGAAGCCTAGAAACCCTTTTTATAAGTTAAATTCGTAGCGAATAAATTCGCATCGAATCAAATTTCTTCCTCAAATTCGGCGAATCAGTCCTTCACCAAACTTTACACTTGGCACAATGCAGTCAGGCAAGTACTGTTCTGCTGGCAAGCGCCAAACCCAGACATGTCCATTGGATTTGCCAGACAGAGATGCATGATTCATCACTCCAGAGAACATGTCTCCACTGCTCTAGAGTCCAGTGGTGGTGGGCGTTACACACCACTGCATCCGATGCTTTGCATTGCACTTGGTGATGTAAGGCTTGGATGCAGCTGCTTGGCCATGGAAACCCATTCCATGAAGCTCTCTACGCACTGTTGTTTTGCTAATCTGAAGACCACATAAAGTTTGGAGGTATTTAGCTATTGACCCTGCAGACAGTTGGCGATTTCTGTGCACTGTGCGCTTCAGCATGCGCTGACCCCGCTCTGTCATTTTATGCGGCCTACCACTTCATGGCGGAGTTGCTGTTGTTCCCAGTTGCTTCCACTTTGTTATAATACCACTAACAGTTGACCATGGAATATTTAGTAGCAAGGAAATTTCATGAATGGACTATTTGCACACGTGGCGACTTATCACGGTACCACGCTTGAATTCACTGAGCTCCTGAGAGTGACCCATTCTTTCTCAAACGTTTGTAAAAGCAGTCTGCATGCCTAGGTGCTTGATTTTATACACCTGTGGCCATGGTGGTGATTGGAACACCTGAATCAAATGATTTGGAGGGGTATCCTAATACTTTTGGCAATATAGTGTATATATACTTCAGCACACTAATAATAATAAAAAAACTTCCACTACACTTGGTTTTGTACACACTGAAAATATACGGAGATATAACACTTTGTCTGAGCTTACCTTATAGAAGAAATTAATTAAAATAGTCAGGGACTGCATAGCATCCAGCAACTGCTGAGAAAAATGAACACTTGGTGAGATGTGTATAATGTAAAGTATTGTGTATATAGTTACTATTACACATATACACTATATTGTGTATATAGTTACTATATAAACAATAGTATAGTGTATATAGAGTGCTGCAGTCAGGTGGGGTTTAAGATCCATAACACAAAATGCAGGGGTCCAGGTTTTGATGCAATGCGGTAAAGTGTAGGGATAAAGAGAGTACAAAATCCTCACGCAGCCCCCCCCATCCCCCCCCCCCCCCCCGCAAGCAATACTCTTCCCCCCGTTTTACCCTTCAAGCAAAAGTCCCTAGTTCCTCTTCTAAAAACCCCCCCAGCACAAATCTTCTGTCCCCTCTAAGAACAATTACCCCTCCAAATCCCCCCCTGCCAACACAAATTTTCTTTCCCTTTCCTCAGCACAAGTATTCCTCCACCCTCCCCAAATCCCCATTCCCAGCATACTGCTCCCTTCTTCCTCATCCCAGGACTTATCCCCAGTCCCCAAATCCTCGCTCCCAGCCCCAAATTTCTTCTCCCAGCAAAAAAAAAAAAAAATCGCCCCCTTCGAGTACAAATTACCCTCCAACACAAATCATCCTTTCCCCCAAATCCCCCCTCACAGAACAAATTCTCTCCACACTTCTAGCACAAATCCACCCCCAAACCCCTACCCTGGCAAAAAAAACCTTCTTTCCCCTCTTTAAACCCCCAGCACAACCCCCCCTCCCAGGACAAATCCCCCCTTCTAGATCAACCCCCCCAACGTGAGACAAACCCTCTCCCCTCTCCTCCCCAATCCTCTCTAGCACAAATCCTCCTTCCTGCAAATCCCCTACACCAGCACAAGTCCTTTCCTAGATTCTATCACAAATCCTCCTCACACACCCAAATCCACCCTCCCAGTACAAACCCTCCACACCCCAACACAAAACCCCTCCCTCTTCTAGTAGAAATCCATACCTCGCAGCTGTCCAGTTTTAGCTGGACCTTCCTGAGATTTTATCAAAATCCTGATGTCCCGCGAATTCGGGCTGAGTCCTGGAGCCCAGTGCCGGAACAAGGCCTAGCCCCAGTAGTTTCTTCTGCATAGATGGCAGTTTCCATAATAACCTCCAGCATTGGTGCCAGTAGCAGAAATAATAACTCTCAGCATTAGTGCCAGTTTCCTCAATAATAACCCCCAACATTGGTGTCAGTAGCAGCATAAAAACCCCCAGCATAGGTGATCAGTGGTGTTATGCTACTTGAACCCCTCTTAAAGTGGAATATCAGCAGAAAACATACCTAGCCTTAACCATGCCCCCTCTTCCCTCCTAACACCTTTGCTGACTAACCTGTATAAAAAAGGTGTATATGCTTACCTATTTTCAGGTTGCTCCAGTCCAGTCACATGAACTGCCAGTGGCAGCTTCAGGTATCACGTACCTTGTTGAGGCCAATGGAGAGAGGGCTTCCCTAGCGGGAGTTCTGGACACCCCTGAGAGTGGGACAGCAGGAGTCAGGCCAAAAGTTGCACAGGTCGCCTGTAGGAGTGCTGGTTGGTGGTCCACTCAGAAGCACAGCTGGTGCACTGAGATATGTCTGCAGACAGGAGGCGCCTGTGCGTGGTATGCAAGCCCTTCTGGGATTTAGATGTTTACTGCGTAGTCAAATCAAGCCAAGGTCAGGTACCAGGTGGGAATCAGAGCCGACATAGTCAGATGGGATAGCCGAGGTCATTCACAGAGGAGCGAGAGAGAGAGAGAATTTGTAAGCCAAGCCGAGGTCAGATCAGGGGTAAGGCAGAGTAGACAGGTCCAGGAGCAAGCCGAGTCGGTAACAGGAAATCACAGGTCAAAGTCACATGAAACAGGAACAGGGCACAGGGAGCTAGAGATCATGCAGCAACTTGAGGAAGTGATGAGCCTCCTTTAAAGGCCGTCTGGCACCAGACTGAGGCTGATGTGTCCTTCTGCGGCCATGCAGAGTACTGGCAGAAACACCAGATCTTCCAGAACCTCTGCCGTGGATAGGACCCTGACATCAGGGGAGAGGAGAGAACTTTGATAATGGCTGTAAAGCCTGGAGCGATGACATCACCCATGGATTCCCATGTTCCTGCTGTTGTCTGCGTACCCCCCTCTCCTCTGTGTATGCTCTCGGTTGACATGGGAAATCTGTGACTGTGAAGGAGCTGCTTGAAAATGGGTTAGTCAGCATTGGTGGTAGCAGGTGAGAGGTGGCATTTTTAAAGCTAGTTGCTTTTAAGCTGTAATTTCACTTTAATTTCTCTGCGCTGATGGTCAGTGGCAGCTTTATTTTAAATATCCCTCACTATTAGTAGTGAGTGACTGGTTGATATAGTGTTGTGTTAACCACTTGCGATCCAGAGGATTTACCCCCTGTTCTGACCAGGCCTTTTTTTGCTATTTGGCTCTGCGCTATTTCAACTGGTATTTGCGCGGTCATGCAATGCTGTACCCAAACAAAATTTATGTCCTTTTTTTCACACAAATAGAGCTTTCTTTTGGTAGTACTTGATCACCGCTATAAACAAAAAAAGACAGAAAATTTTGAAAAAAAATATTTTTTACTTTCGGCTCTAAAAAATATATAGTAAACTCGAAGTTGGTCATAAATTTAGGCCAAAATGTATTCTGCTACATGTTTTTGGTAAAAAAAAAAATCCCAATAAGCGTATATTAATTGTTTTGTGTGAAATTTATAGCATATACAAACTATGGTATAGTACTGCAATTTACGCCATTTGTTTCTGTACAGCGCTGCACTAGTTTAACTGCCAATTGTGCAGTCATGCAATACTGAACATGTCACACAAACAGAGCTTTGTTTTGGTAGTATTTGATCACCGCTATAAACAAAAAAAAGACAGAAAATTTGAAAAAAAAATGATGTTTTTCTCATTTCTGGTATAAAAAATATCCAATAAACTCAAATGTCGTCATATATTTATGCCAAATGTATTCTGCTTTATGTCTTTGGTAAAAAAAAAATCCCAATAGGTGTCTGTTAATCAGTTTGTGTGAAAGTTATAGCGTCTATAAATGGTGATATAGATATTGGAATTTACGCCATTTTTTGCTATACGGCCCTGCTTTAATTTAACTGACAATTGCGTGGTCATGCAATACTGTACATAAAATGAAATTATTCCGATTTTTCCACACAAACAGCTTTCTTTTGGTGGTATTTGATCACCTCTGGGTTGTTGTTTTTTCTTGTGTTATAAACAAAATAAGACCGAACATTTTGAAATAAAAATAAATATTTTCTCATTTCTGTCCAATAAACTCAAATTTCATCATAAATTTAGGCCAAAATGTATTTTGCTGCATGATAAAAACAATCCCAATAACTGCATATTAATTAGTTTTGTGAAAGTTATAGCATCTACAAACTATGGTATAGATACTGGAATTTACACAGCTTTAACTTTCTGACTGCCTATCACATTTCTTGAGGTGCTAAAATACCAGGGCAGTACAAACACACCGAAATGACCCCTTTTCAGAAAGAAGACAGCCTAAGCTATCTTCTGAGAGCCATGTTGAGTCCATGGAAGATTTTTGTATACACGCGTTTTTGGAAGATGACATTTTTTTTTATTTATTTTTTTTACACAAAGTTGTCACTTAAATTATATATTGCTCACACATGCCATGGGTATATGTGGAATTACACCCCAAAATACATTCTGCTACTTCTACCGAGGCTGGGGATACCACATGTGAGAGTTTTTGGGAGCCTAGCCACAAGCAGGAGCCCAAAATCCAATGATCACTTTGAAAGCCTGAAGGTGAGCAACTTCCTCATTTTACTCCCTCACTACCTATCACAGTTTCAGAGGCCCTGAAATGCCAAGATAACACCCCCCCCCCATCAAATGACACCTTTTTGAAAATAGACACCCCATGGAATTTAATAAGAGGCATGGTGAGTATTTAGCAGATCTCATTTTTTCTCACAAGGTTTTGAAAAAGAAAAAATAAGTTTTCGTTTTTTTTCTTCATTTCTTCATTGCTGGCAGAATATACAGATCAGTGCTGCAGCTAAATCGCATTCCTGCAAAGAAAACAGCAATGATTAACAATAACACAGTAACAATAAAACAGTAGCAGTAAACTCGTAACAGTATAACAGTAACTCGACAACAAAAAGAAAAAGGACAACTATTTTTGGTTTTTAAATTTAACTGTAACAAGCAGTTATTAGGGTCTCTCAAAATGTGATAGCCAATTTCCTGACTACCCACCATCTTTCGAGACCCGTGCAAATATGTGCCCTGAACTGTGCCATGCTGTACCCTATACTAATAGTCCACTAGTGTATGGTAGCGAAGGAAGCAGTCCTTGTGGCAGAGCCCAGGTTGGCCAGGACAGGAGGGCCAAAAAAATGCAGGTGTCACACCTAATTCCATGTCTGCTACAGACACATCTTTTGTGGGTTGTTCTTTAAGTTGGGGTATTAGGAATGGCATTGGGAAAATGCCTCTCATGCAGGCAGCTAACTGCATTTTGGTTGGGGGTTTGGTCCACAGCACCTTTTGCTTTGAAAAGCACAAAACCATTATATAGAGCCAATTGAAATAAACAGATACTTTTTTGTACCAGCATCTGGCTTTTCGGGAAACTAAGTACCGCTTCATCATCTGGTCATTGAAGTCCATCCCTCTCATGTTAAGGTTATATACACAGAGGGGCTTCTCAACAACACCAGCTGCCATGGCAATTTGGATGGTTGTGT